TGTAGTGACTCTTCAGATCGTATTAGATCGTATTACTTTTACCTTTTACTTTGTATTTTTGTTCTTACGCCGGGGCTTTGTGAAACTGCGTTCTGATGTTTGGACAATTTTAGCTCGCGGGTTATTCAGAATTCCTGTTTTCAATGACCTTCACACATTGGGGAAAAGGTAAACAACCACATTTTTTCTACCACGTGGTTGCTGATGGATGGAAAATTGATCGCCCTGCACTTTTTTTTGCATTTGGAAATCTCTGGGATCGTAGAAGATGGAGAATAGAACAGCGATATTGAACAGTTCCTGTAAAGTGAGCCGTGCATTTAACTGCCATACAGGATGTCATTTGTATGAGCCTTTACATTGACCTGGAAAGAAGCTGTGGTCATTTAGTGTCGTCCTTAATCCAAAAGCGATGAAGAGAGTCGAAATAATGGAAACAGTGTGGGCCTCAATCAAAGGGTGCTGGTGAGGAGATCCGCGTTTGCGGCGGCGCGGCGGAGATCGCGTAGTGTGGGGCGTTCGCTCCAGTACCTTAGGGCAGAAAAGTGGTGCACTGAGCAAAATCACCCCGAATTCGGCTACTTTTGCTTCTCGCGGCATCCCCAATTAACCTGCCACGACATGGAGGGCTCCATTGGCCTGGGAATGCCTACTGCTTCTACCAGACCAATCGAGGCTTCGAAGTGAGGTGCTATGGATTTCAGCCTATGCGCTGTGTTCGCTGGCGGATGCTGGGCGTGTCAGGGACGGAAGATGGGCTTGGTTTGGAGCGTCGCCAGCCCATTCTTTTCACAACTTAAGGTGGAAGAGAACAAGCTGGCGCTGCGCCAGACCTGGCCCCACTGACACACTCTAGTATCCACAGCGAACAAGGCCGCTCCTTCTTGTGTGGATAGACACCTTGTTCTCCTTCAGAGAGTTCTTTCACCTCTCTTTTCAATATTATTCCTACAACTACAAAACTCCTTTCTTGAACTGCCTTTCCTTTCGAGTTTAATTGAATTTCTGTGTGCCTTCCTTTCTTCTTTGCCAGTTTGGTTTTTTTTCGAGAATTCTGTGGCCATTGCAAATAGCAGATGTGAAGACATCATGTGAACCATTTTTCTTCCCATTTGCCCGAATTTCCCACCGCTGAGAGGTCTGGCCATTTGTTTGCAAAGCTCTTTTATTTCTCATTCTTTTTTGAAGCCGTCATCTGAGGAAGCACGCGTAGCACTGCGCCTTTCGCCTAACAGGGAGCTAGCAAGCTTTGAGCACATAGGGGGGGGGGGAGAAGCTCACATGATATCGCCACATCTTCATCTTCACCAATTCTCGTGTCCTATTGGGATCCTAGTTTTAAGGGGGGAAATTACCCAACGGTCTACTTTCCTCTGTTTTATTCCCGTATCTCCCACAGAGGAGCTGATTTTCCGTTCAGATCCCGTCCAAGTCATGTTTTTGTGGACATCGACGGACCCATTTGAGACACATCTCGTTCAAATGAACGAACCTCGACTGTCTGGCGCATTCAGCTGAAGGCTTTGCTGGCTCCATATTCCAGGAAGCGCCGTGGCATAATTCGCTGCGAATGCTGGGACGTGTCGCGGAAAGGGTTCGGCGCAGCTCCAGCCCGTTCTCCACCAATTTTTGTAAAGAGCGAGCGACAAGTAGTGGAAAGTGGGCTGGCGCCGCGCCAAACCCAGCCTCCTGACATGCATCAACATTTGCAGCGATCAAGACCGTGGGCGTTTTGTTCCTTTAGCGCTGGACCTCTGGAACCCATTGAGCCTCTTAAATGCTTATGTAAACCACATACGTATGATCCATTCAAACACCTGTTTTTCTGAATGTAAGACGATTGCATGGCTCAGCCCATGATGATCCAACAGCAAAGCAGCACAGTTTTGCGTCTAGCGCCTTCTATAAAACTTTGTCCGATCAAACACTAAGTCCTGGCTCAGACAGCCCGCCCACTTTTTGCACTTTTCTCAGCACTTTTTTGCTCGCTCTCTTCTGGCTTCTAAAAACTATGGGCGCGCCCAAAACAGCAACCCTTTGTAGAAGCGATCCCTTTTTAACGACAGGATAGGACTTTCTGCATTGTCCAATGGACTTTGAGTAACGAGTTTCACTAGTAACAGATCTAGAGTTTACCCCCTCCCTCCCTTAGTTGGGGAACGGGACCTGAAGCGCTAGGTGCTAAATGGAGTTGGTGTCGCGCCACAAATAGTCCACTTCCATTTCATTGTGGGCGTTAATAGCTCACGTCAAAGTGGGATCCAAGTGGATTCCGGAAAATCAAAAAAAGAGATCCAGATCCAGATTTTTTAAGCGGCCCCTCTTTGGTAAAACCCCGCACAGAGAGTTACTGGGCTGAGATCATCTGGAGTTCGCTATGTTTTCAGTTAGCCTCAGGTATCTTCAAAACCTTTTTGATGAGTCTGAACATTAATTTTCATTTTTGTATTGTCATTAATGAGAAGCTCGCCTGGTGGATTATCCTTTCTGGATCACGGAGCCTCTTCGAAAGACGCCACCGTGACGAATTTCTTCTTCGTGGGATTCTAATGAGTCAGAACTATGGTTTATCCGTTCTGCCTTCTTGGATAATCCATGTGGAAGAGATCAAGGAGAATTCATAAGAGTTCCCTACCTGATTATGGACATTAAGTTCCGGTTCTAAGCTAGCACTTCGAAAGTTCTAGCTCTAACGAAGTGGTACCGCATGGTCCGCGACTAGTCCTTCATGAAGTATCACTCGGGCCAACCAGTTTTCCATTTCTTCGGGTACTTAACAACAGTTTGAATTATGATAAAAAAAGATGAATTACCTTTGTATGTATGTGTCTGCGATTTTGAGTAGAAGTAGGATGCGTGGCGTATCTTGAGAAGGACACATCAATATCGATCGTTTTATCCTTTATTCCAGTCCCGTCTATTTTGTTTTTGCATTCATAGAATAAGTGCTTTGTTACAGCATAATCCTTTTAGTTTTATTATTCTTTTCATGAGCTGTTTTATATGTTTTTCATGTACTTTTTGTGATTGGTTTGGAAATGAAATAATCGGTTAATGGAGAGTTTCTGCAAAAGCTTTTTTCTGAGCCCTAAAGTGCTTAGAGTTAATAAATCCTTTCAGTGTGCGTCATTCATACGACTTTCAATCCAAAATGCAGACTCGTTTGAGTACGTAACGAAATTTGCGGTGAACCACTGAAGCTGCCTGTTTCTAGTCACTTTTTATCCCCCTGTACTGTCTCCCTTGGAAACCGCATACTTTAGAAAGTAGAGGGGTCTCGCCAGAACACGGCAGGATTGAGTTTCCCAGGTTGGAGGATGAAAATGTTTATTACAGCATCCTTCTCATGGAGGAGTAAACGTCTCTGAGCCTTTCAGGGAGCTGGATTTGGCGCTCGAGGAATGTTGGGTCAGAGGGGTCGTATCTGGTCTTCTGACAGTTTTCAGCTGTAATAAGTGTTTTTATGGGATCTCTTGTCTTTTTTCTAAAAACCTCAATGACGCAGACGCCCACTTACATCATATCCTCCTGAGTAGGCACTCTTATGCAGTGTTCACTTACACTTAGGAAAAGCTTGAAAAGACGAAAGTACGAATTCGTCATGCAAAACGGCTAAACACAAAGTAAAACAAGATGTGCATTCTGGAATTCTTGCTTCAGTTGTGCTACGCATAGCCTTCGCTAGGCGGAGGGGCGTGAATCGATCACTCCCGCTGAAACGTGGTGGCAAGGCTTTCGCTCTATTACTTCAGTAACATGACTTATCTGGGGCAGCCATTGGAACTATTAATAGCCCAAAGAACTCAGAAAATTTTTTGTTGCTGAAACGTTGCCTAACGATGCGCTGGTCGACGAATATACAGTCCTGATCGTTTGCGTGACTGTCGGAGGGCGGTCGTGTGCAAACGCGGTTCAAATGGAGCGTATCGGCTCGTATGCTCTGCAATGGCGATCGGGTAAAGATCGATTTTAGGGAGGAGCAACCAATGATGGAAACTTATTGCGACCCGACAATTGCGGTGATGTAAAGTGTAACATCCGTTTCGAGCGCTGGCGTCATTTGGCGCCATTACGCGCCAAATGGCGCCAGCGCTTGAACCCAGTGTGATATTCTAATCAGGACTCAATCAACCCTCATATGCAAGTTTTCATCAATTTTGGTGAAAAAGTGTTTGAAAAAATTGGCGCATAATGGCGCCAAATGACGTCGGCGCTCGAAACGAATGTGGTATTCGTGATCAGGGCACCGAATTACATCTATAGCAACGTTTCAGCGAAAAATTTTTTTTAGTTTTTGGGGTCAGGAATAGTTCAATAGTGCCCTTATTTCGAAAATTCGACTGTCATGAGAAGGACGTTTACAGTTACAGCATTAGGAGCATGCTGCCTATACCTGACGGAAAGAGGTAGATATATAGTCATGATCCTTGCAAACGATGGAGGATGAGAAGGCGCGGGTACTGGAGCATTGCCAAACCAGCCTTTCCCAACAATGACGTCATTCCGGACCCGCAAAACTGGCGCGAAAGGCTGTTCTGGGCTCCGATCCAACTCACACCCCTTTCGAACTTTCTAAACACGATATCGCCTCCCTCCTATCTCTTCCAAGTGTCGTGAAACAGAAAAATGCCACTATGCGAAAAAAATTTTCGGAAAAAATACGATCCCCCTTCCTCCGTGCAACAAATTCAACTCCCAGCCGGGGATCCTCCGAGCAGGACGTAACTTGACTGTGTTATGGGCTCCATTTTCCTAAAGCTCATGAAATGATTGTTTCAATCAAGAGAAGACATGATAATTACAGTACCAAGCAGTAGTAGCTTTGTTTTATGTTTTTCGATATTTTTCAACCAGTCTGATGAAAATAACATGTTTTTGTGGAGTAATCAGTCGTGGAGTACTGAAGCAGCCCTGAAACAAAGAAAAAAACTTCATTTTCAAGTAAAATGCTTCTTCTCACTGATAATCCTCCATTTTAGAGCCTCCTCCAGTTACGACAAATGCACTGCGACATTCCACAAGAATCCGAAAGCCGACCATTCTCCACACGGCACCTGAAGTTTATCACTAAAAGCACTCCAAAGCCAGGGAAGGCTAAAAAACGCAAAGTGAAGAAAGAGGAGGTGAAAGTCGACAAGAAGGGCAGGAAGACGATCTCAAAAAAGGCTATCAAAGGAAAAACAGAGAAGATGAAACAGAAGAAGAAGGTAGGTGATTAATTAATGTGACATTCCGGAAGATTTCAGTTTTCAAGCCAAAAGGCCCAAAACGCTTCGCAAGATCTTTGAAAGCTTTCCCAAGCTATTTGCGATTTGGCCTATACAATGACGTGCGGCGGGCAAGCGTACGTTATACAGTCACTCCTATAGGAAAATGTGCTGCCACTCAGGAATTCATTGGGTGGTGCCGACGCCTCGCGAGCCTATCCGCGCAGTCTACGAGAGCGGGCCAGCGTATCAAGGCGCAGTCCCGGGATGAGCTCCCAAGTCGCTCCCGCCCAGGCCCGCCGAGCATCTCTCCCCACGGCGAAAATTGACACCAGATCCGTCTGAGAAGATTAACAATGACTCGTGCATTGGCTGGTCACTGCAACTCTCCACGTAGGCCATATCACATAACAGCTGCCATGTTCGACTTTCTTGCAATCTTGGCATGATGATATTCGATGTAGTTTGTCTTCGAGCCTCGACAAGATTGAAATGCTTTATTAGGCCAACGTTTCGGCGTCTTCGCCTTCGTCAGAGCCTGAAATGGACAAAAAACACATGAGACCTGCCCGCTGAAACGTCTCAACAATTCTCAAGACAATTTCACTAAACTAGTAAAACGACCCAACGGTATCGATCGATAGTGTTGTGGCTCACCTTGATCTAGACGCCGCAGTGCGGGCTCGACCACCCTGAGGTTGACTTGAATGCGGATTAACCATTACCAGTTACACCCTCCGACCTCACGGTAGATCAAAACTTACAGAGGTCGAGGAAAGGCGCGAGTTCGCGGGTCACAGCCACACACTCCTCCTTTCTATTCATTTTAGGGTCCTTGGCAGTGATCCAAAATGCCTCCAATGTCTTACGCGCCGTGATCTCGGGCTCCTGCGCTAAGATGACCACCGACACGTCAAATGACGTGCCTCCATGGTGTTCAACTCGATGAGCTCCGAGTGGAGTCTGGACCCTAGATCTACTGAGCCCCTCCAGATGTTCTTTAACCCGCACACGAAGGGGGCGCCCTGTTTCACCTATGTACTCACTGCCACAATTCTGGCAGTGTATCGAGTAGATGACTGCCGACTTCATGCAGTCGCCCGGTCTGCCGAAGGGACATACAACACAATCCGGGGTGTCGCATAAGGTGTCATATAGCCGGTTGCGAATAAGGTGACGTTTTAAGTTACAGGGGGGTATTTCCACAATACTAATATCGTCCTGGAGATCCACGTTCGATACCGTTGGGTCGTTTTACTAGTTTAGTGAAATTGTCTTGAGAATTGTTGAGGCGTTTCAGCGGGCAGGTCTCATGTGTTTTTTGTCCATTTCAGGCTCTGACGAAGGCGAAGACGCCGAAACGTTGGCCTAATAAAGCATTTCAATCTTGTCGAGGCTCACAAACTACATCG